TCGACTTTTGAACTAATAAATAAATAAATATAGTATGAAATTTAAAGGTGCTGTAATTCGTATTATTTTTGTTAACAAATTTTTGCCCATTACTAAAACAAATTATCTCAGAAAAATAAAGCAGCGATATGGGCCATTAATCACAAATAATGTTTTTTTATATGGTAAAATAAAATAAAAAATATGTAAATTAAAACTTCATTTAACATTTCTCAAAACATGTAAACAAGAGAACTTATTACCTACATTTGTTAAATTTCGAAGCCCAGATACCTATAATCGATTTCAGCAATGTATCCGAGATTGTTATCGTAATATTTTACTTAAAGAAATTAAAATTAAAAAACGTGAAGTATCCTATAATTTTCGTTTAATGAATAATCTGAAATTGTTGATTAACTATGACCTTCCTTTAACCTTAATGATTCACGTCGAGCAGTTGATTGATGAATTTATAACAGAACTTACTAACAACGTCAGTAAAACTCATAGGACTAAACTTGACAGCTTACGATTTTGGGACAATCCCCCTGTAACAACATATAACCCACCTCCACCATCTATTTGCTCTATTAAGAATCTATCTAAAAGAATTCTAACAAATGATGAAAATGAAGCATTAACTAATGGTTTGGACTTTGTTTGTCCATCAACTAAAATTAATGAAGAATCATTTATTAGTAACATGGAACTCTTCTTCGTTAATATATTAGGTCAAGTTACTGATAAACCTGAGTATGAACTTAAAGATACAGATGAATCAGTTGTTTATAAAATGACATCCGATCAACTCCTAGGTGCATCTAAACTACGCTTTGCCTGTGAGAAATTCCGATCCAATATTAAAAAGAATAAACATCAACGGGGATATGATTCAGATCGAATGATAAAGATACTTCAAAATTTGTCGAAAGACAAAAGTATCTATATAACAAGACCGGACAAAGGAAAGGGTGTGGTCATATTGGATCGAGAAGAATATATATCTAAGATGAAGAGTATTTTAAATGATATTAATACTTTTCGTCCAATTCCTGTGGATGAAACGCTTCAACAGGAAGATAGACTTTATCGAAAATTAATATCCCTTAAACAGTCTGGATTTATTACACCAGAAGAATTTCAACGTTGTCGTCCTGTTGGTTCACAACCAGCACGAATTTATGGACTTCCTAAAGTCCATAAGACTGGTACTCCACTCAGACCCATTTTGTCAGCTATCGGTACTTATAACTATGGTATAGCAAAGATGTTAGTTAATCGTCTCTCGCATTTAAGAAAATCCTATACTATTATTAATGATACGTTCTCATTCATCGATGAATTAAAATCAACACCCTATGATTCATCGAGCTGTCGTATGGTGTCATTTGACGTCACCAGCTTGTTTACGATGGGCCCCTTACAATACACCATTAATCTGATATTACTGAAATTATATGGGCCACCCCACACTTGCTTCGCTGATAATGAGACTAAGAAGAAGAAAAAAAAAACTGATTGGTGTAAAAATTGTATAGACAGGAGCAACATGTTGTGGTTGTTAACAACAGCCACATCAGAAACTAACTTTTTATTCAACGGTCAATTTTATTGCCAACATAATGGTGTCGCCATGAGGTCTCCTTCGGGACCCTTAATGGCTGACATCTTTATGATCGAGCTTGAAACAATGTTGATGCCTGAATTAAGGAAGTCTGGAGTAATCTATTGGCGGCGCTTCGTAGATGACACTTTTGTATTGATTAAACCAAGCTCTGATATCATATCTATCCAATCGATTCTTAATAGCTTTCATCATAGTATTAAATTTACATTTGAAGAAGAAAATAATATGAGCCTTCCCTTCTTAGACGTAATGATAAAACGTAATCAACAACTTACAATAGGTGCTCTTGTGCGATATTTATGTGGTAATACATCTGAAAAAGCTATATTACAAGTTGTTGGTATTAAAGTAATCGAAAAAATAAAAAATGACGATACATCAATATTTACTAAATGTTATCATCTTATATTATCGGACGGCAAGCACACATTTTCATCTTGTATGCTTGACACTAAAATAAATAAATTAATTGAAATGAATTCTTTAAAAGAAAACTCTATTATACGCATTGATCGTGTTATGGTCAATTCAATCGATAAAACTGAAAAAATTATGCTTGTGCTTTATGAACTTGAAGTAATACAAAGTGATAGTGAACGAATTGGAGATTTAGTAGCGTTATCATTGACTGATATTACTAATAGTGGTGGAGATATAAATTTTCTCGAAACAACAAATGATAACAATACAACAATTAAAAAATCGGGTTTTTCTACCAGGATCTACAGAAAGCCTACATATACTAGACTATTAACCAAGTGGAGCTCATTTGTCCCACACTTTTACAAAATTAGCGCGATTAGTAACATGGTGTATCACGCCATCAGAATTTGTTCTGACTACCACCTATTACACGAAGAATTTGAATTCATCAAAGATGTATCATTACAAAATGGTTATCCCCTTAAGTTCGTGGAATCACAAATCAGAAAAACACTGAACAGAACCTATGAAGTAAAAAACAAATCTGCAACAAATTCTTCTAAGGTCATCTTAATTAAAGATCAAGGAAAAAAGAATAAAATATTGGTGGAAATTCCGTATGTTGGAACACCTACATCACTTTTCGGAAAGCAACTTGTAAAGATCGGACAAGAAATCAACCCAAATTCTTGTATCCAAGTAATTCCTAAACCAACAATGACAGTTGGAAATTATTTTCCCTTGAAGGACCCAATCCCCAAGAATCTTTGTTCAAGGATTGTATATCATGTTAAGGGCTTCGATTGCGATGCAGCTTATGTAGGTAAAACAGTACGTCAAGCCTCTAGGCAACTGAGAGAACATGGTGCCCCTCTTAATACAAATTTAGTCACGACACTAACTACTTCATCACAAATTCAATCTACTGTAGCTTCGAATGCATTACGACGATCAGCCCGTAATATAGGTAAAATAGTTGATTATCGATTGCTTACATCAACGACTGAGGAAAACAATGAAAACGGTAATATTGAAGATAAATCGATTAATATAAGAAATTCGGCTTTACATCAACATGCAATCGAACGTCAACACAGAATCAACTGGGAAGAGCGGAAAATAATAACAAAAGGTCTTAATTGGTACCGATCAGAGGCCGAAACGGGGCGGATTTTTCACTCCCCGCCCCGCCCCGTCGAAAGCTTTCTCTACCCGACCCCGCCTCGCCCCGCTATTTATTTGTTTTGCTTCCCCGACCCCGCTCTACCCCGTCAAAAGCTTTCTTCGCCCCGCCCCGCCCCGACTTTCATCGACTCTTCCTTAATGCATATACGAATTTTGAATGTGAAACTGAAGAGCAAGAAGGTTTTCTAGGAATCTACTTCATTCTGCGTTGCCCCGCTCCGACCTAATTTTTTTGGTCGCTCCGTCTCCCGCGCCGCTCCGCCCCGCTATTCCACGCAAATTCTCTCCCCGTTCCCGCCCCGTCCAGCCAAAAATGCTCCCCGCCCTATTTCGGTCTCTGGTTATAACTTCGGCGTCTCATATTGACGAAGTTATAACTTCGATGATGATCGTCATGAGTGTGGGTGTGGGTGGAGAGCAGGTCAACATTCACACCCACCCACACCCACACCCATACCCATACCCACCCATACTCACACCCACACCCGCACCCTCTGATGGAGACCGAACCATCTCAAGGTTAAACAGATTTCAAGATCTGACTTGCTTCAGTTATTTAGAATAGGAATAATTAAAATGAAAACAAACTGAGAAAATGTCATAACATGGCTTTACAGAAAAAAAAATAAATGCGGTATTTGATAGGTTCGAATGATGCTTTCAGAATGTATTATGGATTTGTGTTGCAAATCATGCCGCATGCAACATGTTTTATCTTAGTATGTACCCAAGATCTTATGAATCCATATCTAAGATCTTACATATCTGTATTCAAGATCTGATTCAAGACCTTGATACAAGATAATATGGTAATCTTGTACTTGTACCTAAATTTTCAAGATCTGTTAACATTTCTGTACCTTGTATCGTGGCCAAGATCTTGGTTACAAGATGTTTCACTAGGGATATTCGCAAATGAGAGGACACGTTTGGTATACCTATTTTGTATAATAATGACTTATAAAACATTGCAAATCAACGATCAAGTTGATTATATAAACACTTGAGCATTTATTGATTGATTAAAATAACCTTTAAAATCAATTTGAATCATTTTATCATATTATATTTTACACCAGTATTATCATTAAAAAAAGTCTAATATCCATCAATGGTAAGATCATTTTAAAAATCGATTTGAATCTATTCTAAATACATTTTGTTAGAAATCATTCTTTGTATGGCTATCAACTAATACTTATCAGAATTCAAGAAGTTATTAAAAACTATTCATATATTTAATTTTAAGATATTTTCTAACGTAGATTGAAACCATCTCCATGTACAGTAACCAGAACTGATAAACATTTTCGTAATATCCATCTACATCAACGACAGTCATGCATAATGCGAAAACATATTTCATTGCATGTATATATATTCAACTTGTAAGATCTAAGATAGCAAATAATAATTTGCGTCTATATCCAGAATGCATAAAAATATTTTTTCATGGGGTAACTCTGTGATTTAAAATAGCATTAATAACAATTTTATACCAAATTAAAGCGTGTCGAAAATGAAATTCATCAATACTAAATAGTAAGCGTTGAGGCAATTTGTCAGTGTTGAATTCAGAAAATTCCTGAAATTTTACGTCATATCAGCAGAGAAAAATTCCTTTCATGAGACAATTCAAACTAAATCTCATTTAAAATGATGAATATCAAAAAATAATATTTTATTTCTTAAGACTTAATGAACATAATCAATAATCAGTATGGCAACCATTAGTGTTTTTACAGCAAGAAGATGAGACAAATACGTACATCAAATAGTTCAATGTTTGTTTCCATTGTCGTCAAAACATATGAGATATGTTTTTTTTTTGAGTTTCGTCATCATATTGATTGTGTTGCGTATCTGATAGCCATTCGTTTCAGCTTCATTTTTATTTATTGTTCCAATAATCTCAGGCCAGGTATCCAGTACTTTTTGATTTTCATCATTTTAAATAAGATCCAGTTTGAACTGCATCATGCAAAGAATTTTTCTCCGCTGATATGGCATAAAATTTTAGGAATTTTCTGAATTCGATACTGACAAATTGCTCTAACGCTTCCTGTTTAGTATTGGTGAATCTTGTTTTCGACACGCTTTAATTTGGTATAAAATTTGTTATTGATGTCAAGCATTGCTCACCTGGAAAAATATTGTTACGCACCATATAAAGCATGTCAATAAAATATAAATGAAATGATTAAAAAAAGCAACTAGTTTTTTCTTTCGATAAAATTTCAATGTGTCCATTAATAGAATATTGTAATGATGTATCAATATGATAATCGAACAATACCATCAATTTATTTCAAAGAAGATCTATTTTGATATCATTAAAAAGCTTTAAAAACAACTCTTTAATCGAAATAATGAATACAGAAAACATTATTTATTTTCTAATTATCTGAACCCATCAAAACAATTAATAGACCATACCCTAGTCGAACATCTTGTAAGCAAGATCTTATCAAGATCTTTAAAAGATAATTCACTTGTATATTTCTTAATCGTATCATTTACGTCTGTGCCTAACCCATGTGATAAAAACCGGCAGAAATCGACTGTTTACCGCGGTTTTACCGGTCCGGTTACTAGCATCCATTGCTGCAATTAATCAGGGTAAACTGCTACTTTTGTCCGGTCTACCGCGGTTAGCCACCAATCTGAATTATAGCAGACTCTTACTTCGTGAAACGATGTTTTTACACAAAGTACTAATCTAAATGTTCGTTTAACTTGTTTGAGAAGTAACTCATTGTCTTTTCGAAAAATAGCTTTTAAAAGACAGCGTTCTGACACGTTTGTAAAAAACAATCATTTTTTTTTAGTAGAACAACGCTATAAAAACGCGCTTAAATGCATGACAAATAAAACGGATTCGAACGATGTTCTAGATGGTGCTTTAAATTGAAGAAACACGCTGGAAATGAAAAAAGATTCATCCAAATGTATTGCAAATAAACAAAAGATCTGTTGAAATAAAAACAATGCGTTTAAATGCAATAATAGCGGTTTTTCTCGAAAATTTGGCATTGAAACACTGTTCTGTACAAAATTTTTTTCATGGGTTGCATCCCTTTCGTAGAACATGAAAATTCACTTTTATTGAGGGGGAAATCAAACGATTAGATACCAATCTACTCAAGTTTATGCTTTATATAGTGGAATATTAGGAAAATTTTCCTTTTTACATTAAAGTTTATTCTGCACTTAATATTCTCAGTAATATAGAACTCGTTAATTTGTTCCGAATTTTCAACTAAGCAACTCAAATCTTCGATAATTTCTCTTATCATCAAAAGTCTTTTGACTCTCAAAGTCATGTGATGCTCTCTCTCTCTCTCAAACAGCAAAATTCTGAATTTTAATGATGAATAATAAAAACTCTGGTCGAAAAGTTTAAATATGTATGATGATTTTGCTGGCTTTTCAACAGCGATTAATACTTTCAATTAATTAAAAAAAGCTGCTGGTACAAGCTCTGTAGGATTAAAATATGACACGCAATGCACCTGCTGTTACTAAGTATAGAAAGATTGCTTTATTCTATCTATTTTGTGACACATATCTGCACCATCCTTTTACTGAATTTCTACCTCTATACATCAACACTCTTTTTAGATCGTGTTTCATAAACATGAATGAAAACAAAGTAGATCAATATTATTTAGTGAATTTTATTAGTTATATTATTACCTAGACCTTTCTGAAGTTTATTTTCAATATTAGAGACCTTAACTACCTACATATGAATACAAAAAGTGATCAACAAGTAAAAGAATAAAAATTGGAAATGTGTGTTGAATTTTATTTCTTTAACATTTTAAATTATCAGTTGCTGGAGGAAGACCAAAACATTGTCGAACTTTTTGATAATGTCCAACTCTGGTGTCTTGTTTGGATGATGATCCACATTCAATACGATTAATTATTTGTGTTGTGCTTCCAAAATTACCTTCTCGTGCTGGTGCGCCCATATTATTAGCATTCCAAAACCAAAGTGCAGTTGCCGCAGCCAACTTATCAGACTGAGCAACTTGTTCCGGATTTTTCAACAAATCAATACCAAGTCCATCACCAGCTCCCTTATAATTACATGGCCATGATAATTGAAACCAACCACGACCATAGTACTGTTTACCAGGTTCTGCTTGAACTGGAGGACACCATGAGCCTTGATAATCATTAGCACATGCGCCTGATTGTCCACAGTATTCTTCATAAGTTTTCAAGCCATCCGTTTCATGTGATACATGTGCAAAAAACATCATAACTTCATTTTGATTTTGTGCTTCAAATGGCATCATTGTTAATGCTTCTTGATAACCTAAAGTATAAATATAAACAAATATTTATACATACAAATAACTTTTTTTTTGTTAACAGTTAGTTTTGTTTTTAGCTTGAGCATTTGTTCTAGAATATGATACTATTGAATATTATCCTACTCCTTTATAAGACTGCTAGACAAACTTTCAGTGTAATTCCTATGATATGAGAATGTAAGAGGTGATGAAATCACTGAAGAATTGTCATCATACCTATGAAAAATCATTTGAAGATCAACATGGCAATATATCGAGATATCTAGAATGGTTTGAGACCGACTGAAAATTTATTTTCCTCTTCAAATACTTCAACACTTATAATTCACAAAATCAAGATACTTTCAGTTCAAATAAACCTCAACGAGTAGAGCAAAAATTATGAAAGATTCAAAAACATAAAATGCTTTTCTCTCGAAGCTGTGCTCAAATACCCCAAAGACTTTCGCAGATTCATTATTTAATTTTTTTTTCTTTGAGTCAAACCTTGAGGAAATAACTTCAAACATTCTGAAAATCGCTTGTTTTTTTTTCCTTAGATTATACTGAGTTCAATAAGCTAAGATTCGATTCTAACTTCACATGTCAATATTCTCAAGAGTTATCAATAAGCAGAATAACTTTGTTTCATTCAATAGAATAGAAGTCTTTCACTTGTAATTATAAGACTATGCTTTGCAATAATCACGAATATTTAGCTTTCTGCATTTCACCTTTCTTTTCCCTTATGAACAAGATCACCTACTATATTCAGAATCATCGATTACAACTGAAATGCTCTATTTTGAAAAAATAGAGAGCGTACTTGAATAATACAAGGCTATTTATTCGTGACTTTGAAATTCTAGAAAATTAATCTTTTTTGCTAAGGAAAGAAGTATTTTAACGTTTTAATGTGTTCTCAACGATAGAGGGAACTTCCATTTATTGTACTGACTATAAACAAACATATTTAGCAGATTTCAGTCGGCAAACGATGGAGGTTGTGTATACTCTGAAAATTACGAATTGTGCAGGATGTGTTCCGTGGACATTAAAAAACAAGAAACTAATGATGAGAAAACTTATTATCCCAATGATTTAGATAAAACTGTGTTTGACTCTCAATATTTCTATGACAGAATTTTAGAATTACCTAAGTATACTAACCTTGCCAACGTTTATCACGAGTAGCTGGATCTAATTGATCATAAATACAATCGAATCGTTCTCGAGTAATTGAAGTACTGTTATTACTACTTTCAGTTTCATTACCACTTTCAGTTTGATTATCACAATGTGCTGGTGTATTGCCACAACTTAATGCCCGAAAGAAAGAAAGAATAAAAATCCAATTTTATTATTCAATAAGAATGAATCAAATCTTCAATTCGAATAATGCTTACTATCCCAATTTTGAACAGCAGAGACCAGGTGGACATGGTGGTGGACATCGACCATAATCAATTGGTGGAGAAGTTACACCACCCATACAATGTAGTGGTGTGTTACCACAACTGAAAGTAAGAAACAAATCAATAGTTTACTTTGTTATTGGTAAACAGGCATGAAGTCACAATCCGCAAATTACTCACAATCCCCATCTTGAACAACATAACCCTGGTGCACATGGTGGCTGACATAAGGTGGCAAAAGTTTCATTTATTTGACCAGCGCAGTGAAGTGGTGTATTACCGCAACTGAAAGTGAGAAACAAATCAACAG